CGATTGATTTTACCTCGTAACATAGTTGTTTTGTTTATGTCGCACCCGCGTCCGTGTCATCAGTCGCGCACTCGCGCCCCATTCAGTAGGATGGTCACGTGTGCCAATATAGAACTCGAAACTTGGTCAATCTAACCTGCGTTATTTGAAGTAAATTAATAAATTATTTGTTAGTTACAATAGGTACCTTTAGTAATTATAAAATAATTAATTATAAATTCATTGAAATTAAAACAATTAGACATAATATTCCAAGAGGTAACGTGTGTTTGCCTGATTTATGCTAAGACCCCTCTCTTAGCCTATACAAACAAATGAAATGTTATGCATTATTTGTATAGATAGTGTTGTCACTTTTGTCAGGTAGCGTTAGAACAGGACTACTTAGTTACTCTGAAGGTAGCACACCAACGTGTCTTAGGGAATCGTTATCTCAGCGTACCTACACTGGCTGAAGTATTCTATCAGTTCATGCTGAGTACTTTATTCGTTTCTTGGAAACAGTGACTTACCGCGACACCTTAGTAAAGTTTCTAGTATTTTCTTACTTTTCAAATCAAATGCAAAGGTTTTGTTGCGACTTATAATGTAGTCACTTTTCTTGGTTTTTTTTATGGCATAAGTCTGTAAACGAGCAGACGGATCACCTGATGGTAAGCAATCGGCGTCGCCCATTGACACCTGGAACACCAGCGGCGTTACAATTGCGTTACCGGCCTTTTGGGGATTAGGAGTTTGAGGATCGTTGGGGATTCAGGAATTGGGGCGATTGGGGAAAGGGAGGGTAATTGGGCCTCCGGTGACCCCACTCATACGACGAAACGCAACACAAGCGCTACTTCACGTCGGTTTTCTGCTCGTTGGTGGTATCACTCCGGTCGAGCCGGCCCATTCGTCCCGAAGCATGGCTCTCCCACACTCATACTCACTTTGTTTCAACCTGCATTTAAATAGTGTATTTCTAAGCGTATAGTTCTCCCGAATATCAGCCATAATACCAACTAGCTCGATCTTCACTTACAACCACTGATAGACACTGAAGATAATAAAATTATCTTCACCCCAATCAATTGGTTGGTGCCTTACAGCCCAACATCTGCTTAGGAATGATCTTCAGTACCTACAGCAGCAGTCAACGGTCGAGCGCTTCCTATAGCCTAGTTCAATTAAGCCCAGTAATACACAAAACAAGAGAAATAATGTTAATTATTATGTATTCGGCTTATTCACTTTTGACGAGGACTTCGACTAAGTAGTCGAAGTCCTAGTCAAACAGGCGTCAAGCCATGCTAGAGGCTCGTATTCATGACATGAGCAGCATTTTATGAGTAAGCCGAAAACATAATAATATGTCTCACAAAAGTTTTAATATGAGTAGAAATAATGTTAAGTATAAATATGTATAATATGTGTCCTCTAGGGTTAGATGTAGTTTTTCCCAACTATGTTTGAGGTCGGTACAAGTTTTAACCACTCGGGAATTATTTTTTGTTTGTTTTGTGAAATATTTCCATTTTCCATAAGCAATAGAAATCCATTGTTACTTTACTAGGAATCTCATATCTAGCACGTAGGGTAAGAAACTGAAACAGAATCTTATCTATTGAATGAGTTAAATAGATTAGATGCCACTTATCTAACAAAATTTAATAAATATAGTCTTTGAACAGGTATAAACTCGTAGAAAACAAGATAGTGATCGTAAAGTTATTATTATTTACGTCTTTCCTAATTGACATTACACTCATAGCATGGATACTTTATATATAGCTATTGAATCCTTAAGTAGTAGTAGTCAGCTACAGTAGTAGTGCAAATAGACAAATGTTACAGTTGAATTTTGTATGAGTAAGTTTTATCCCGTCAAAGTACAAGGACTATACTGACCTGTGAGAAACCATGAAAATGAAAGTAATCGCAGGATACCTGCAGGCATAGGTATTCCGTAGTCATAACAAACTATTGCAGCGAATAATAAATTATAACATCATCTTGCCACACAGAGCGTCGTAAAAAATGTCTGAGTCACATTTATCGAGGATAAAATTAAAAAAATATATTCCTAATCACAGCGCGGTGCGCATTGGACGGCCAGGTAATCTAGAGGCAGATAACTCCAATAACAGCACTTCGGATGACCTCGCACATACTGATAGTTGTAACATGCTTGTTACGTGTATCCAACTCACACGATTACATCGCTACATCGCTATATCGCCCTGGCGAACTGCTACTTTATTACTACATGTCATGATATCAGAACACTCACTCATTACTAACACTGGTACAAAACAGGTACCCGCCGAACCTTACAGCTGCAAAACGGAGCAGCGGGGTGTGCGCAGTCATGATTATAATTATTTGGAACAGTCAATGTACGACAAGCATCCCTCACCAATACTCGTACAAATAAATACACAGATTACTTCATCTCCATAGGTACTTACGTGCACCTATTTACAAAATATCTACGAATTTATGTGATAGTAGTGTATGTACTCGCACAGGTGTATGATATGCTCCAGAAAGCACACACCTTGGCTGTTATCAAATGACACCGTTTGATATGCGCCTTTACCAGCTTATCTATCATGTCGAAATTCTTCCACGTACCTACCTATCACGTATCCTAGTAAATAAGTCCGTATCGACAATGTCTTATTCGCCAATATTATTTAGAGTCATTTCACCCCTTATACAATATTATGCTGTTGAGGCAGGCATGAAGAAGATTTAGTCCAGCGACATATTTCTGTTTTCATTGTAGTTTGTCTATACTGTTATCATAATGAATCATTAAATCAAGCACCAGCAGTAGATACTCGCATCCGCTACCGGAATTTTCTATTTTGGAACAATGAGAAAGTAATGAAATTATCAGAGAGCAGCAGCTAGATAATTATAATGTAATAAAGGTGTATCTCAACTGTAAACAAGGCAGCTAGTCGAGGTGGTGGCGTCGTCGTCAGCAGATGCCGGCGTGCGGGCGCGCGGGCGCGTGGGGCGCCGGCGCACCGGCCGCAGCGCTGCGCACCGTCACCGCTGCTTATCACCGATACCTTGCCGATTGGCTGAGTGGAGTGTTTGCGCGCCTGATATGGCTGACGGGGGCCAATCGATTCCCCGTTCCGTCGAATCTTATCACGATCATGGTGGACGTTTGTGCCTCGTGTCGGTTCACCGATATCATATCTGAAGATATCGACGAAAGTATAAATATGAGCCCATCGATCGATCGGGTCTCTATCCGAGTGTGAGCTGTGATTACGATTGACTGTGCAGCGAGCTGCGCGTGTTATACTAGTGCCGGAGCTGCTCTCTCAGGGACCTGGGACTCCTCTCCTGTTCACGGTTGATGGTGTCGTTCCTTTTCACGGATCTTGGTGATTCTAACTCCTTTTATTATCTTACTTTTGTGCTGCAACCAGAACTGTCGACGTGGCGGTCACACTTGCTTATCGACCTGTTGCGAAATAGTTGTTAAATCAGTATTGTGCTCACCCGGCAGTCATCTGCCATGCCGACAGTTCTGCGGTGTAGTTAGTGTCGCTGCTAGTACAAAACGACGACGATTACGTAATAACATATGGTGGTCCAATGGCACATGTGTGAGCTCGCTCCAAACTGATTAGTCGCTCGGAATATTTTAAACGATCTTCTTAATGTGATAATAATTTAGTTGCGGCTACATTCGCTATATCGCTCTGCAGGGTCGCTGACGCGACGGGGAAAAGCGTTGCTCTTATCAGAAAACATTAGCCGCACCTTTTCAAGCGGTGATAGCGAGTCGCCCGACTCTATATCGAGCGCGCGCGCTACGATTGTCACACTGAACAAACACGCACCAGACAACGTTCATGTCGTATAAATATTCCTTTTGATTTTCAGAATCGACACCAGCGCCACCACACGCTAGACCTCACGTCTGAGTTGGACAGGGGATCTTGACAGTTTGAGCTATGTGCTGCCAGATCTATCTTTCCAGCTCACGCGTGAAGTCGCTTCTTCTTGATGGTGGTGTCTTCGGCTACGGGAGTCCAAGACAGCATTGAAGCATCACTAACTTACCCCAGAGGCCCAGACGAACTACCTGCTTAGCGACGCGTGAAGGATCAAGTGGAGGTGTGATCTCTTCACTTTTTATGTTTAAAGTGAGATTCAACTCCTCCAACTTAATTCCGAAACGCTTTTTCTACGCTCAAAGAACATGAACAAGACGATAATGGAAATTCTGGAATATTTAGCTTAATATACAAATTTATTATTCTTTACATTACTTATTTAATTTATTAACCTAAGTCATGAAAACATATGTGTACAGTTGAATCACCAATTGATTTATCTCTGTAAATAGGTATAATCTTAATTTAATAATATTTTAATAAGGTCATACATTATCCACATATATTAAACATTGGTAAATAAAAATAATTTCATTTATTTGCTTGTAATAATTTCAAAACTTACTCCTTGAATATGAACTCGAGTACAAAGGCATATAAACCAAACAAATTCAAACACTGGCGCCACTGTACACGGCACGCGAGCATTATGGAAGACCCAACGCTACGTGACTAGTCTGAAGTACACTGCAAATCAGTAGAAAAAAATCACAACACCCAAAACAAAAAATGGGCAAAAAAATGTTGGTAACACCGGTGCGCTAAAAAAGCTTGCAAACTTCACGCACCTAACCTGCGCTGGACATCGACTCGTCCGTATCTCTAAACTTTGGGAAAATGTATATTGATTTTTCAAAGAAAAGTCAACCGATGTAACAAAACACCATTCGCGGAGTGTTTATACGCGTAGTAAAGTGCCGCGGTCGGTGTGCTGTGTCGTCAAGATGATGCGACGGTGTTCGTCGTCGCGTTCCGAGTGAGATCGGAGAGAGTGTTGCGTCGCTCGGCCGTCGGCCCGGAGCCCGGCCGCGGCCAGGGCCTGGGCGCGCCATGGACGCCGGCGCTGCTGACCCGCTGCGAGTGGCCAGGCCGTGAGTATCATGTCTCGTTGCCCGCACCCATCGCTTACAGCGTGCTGTGAACGTTTCGCCCGCGTTCTTACGTCGTGGATTATTTCGGTCCCCGCGAGCCCATCCGAGGTTGCGAAACGGCCCGTCCGCGCTCGTTTCTCGCTCGCGCCGAGCGGACATTCTCTCGCTCGTGCGGTCGCGGCGTCACGGCCTCCGCGTTGCGCCATTTCGAAACGGTCGCATCGTCCGCTCGCGCTAGTGCTGCAAGGCGAGGACACCGCGGCCAGCGCTGATAGCGATCGAGCTGCGAGCGCGGCGGCCGAGCGTGACCGCCTCCGCCCGCTCAGCCTCGGTGCCACCCGCATGAATGACTCGGCCAGCCGGGATCGTAAATCAGAATCGTGTTTACAGTTTTTGCGGGGCGCACGAAACCTGTCGCGCCGCCCCCGAGACAAAGGGCGGCGCGAGAGGCGCTCGGCCTCGGCGCGGCTCGACCGTGGCGCTCACCAAACGCCCGAGTGAATTATGGCTAGGTGCATATAACCCGTGTACTACACATACCTAACATACGCGCCTACCTATCTATAGCTATATGCAGTGAAGGCTGCGAGTATGTACCTACCTACTCAAACAAAGCATTTTGCCCACAAATCCATACTGCTAGCCCCGTACGGGCTGTGTTCGCGTTCTTTGTAAAATTTCGTGCGAGTCCGCGACGGGGGTGATGTCATGTGTGTGTATGTCGTCTTAGCTAACATCTGGGCGTTCGTCAATTGTTAATATTAGTGTGCATTTTGAGGTTAGGTTGTGACTGTGTCTCTGAGTGGTCCAGGACAAGCCACCGCGGAGCCCTGGCCGGCGCAGCTTCGCTGGTGTAGTCTGTGTGTCTCTGAGTGTGTATTTATCACTGTGGACATTGATAGTGTGGCATTGTGGGAGCTGGCTGGATGTTGTGTGTTGTCTCAGGTTTAAATGCAGCAATTATAGTTAATGGCTCATTAAACTGTTCCAATTAGTGTTTGATGTGATTATGATAGTGAGTGTGAGGATGTAGCACAGCACGAGTGCTCAGTGTGCCTGAGCAGTAGCGGGCCCGTGCTCAGGTGATCAGCATTAGTGTGTTGGCATTGTGTTCCATGCGTACCTACTCTCAGGTCATTTACCTGCTTAGCAAACTATTAACAAACTGGTAGGAGTGATAAAACTAGAAGGACTACAGGTTTTCAAGTGACTGAGTTACATCATGCTCATGATTGCACACAAAGTTGTTTTATCTCTGCATTCTTTGTTGAACAGTGTTCAAACTGGATAGTTGTATCTGCCAGGCTAGTTTTTAAATTATTTGAATTTGTCTTTAAATTTAATGGTTCCTGTGTCACAGACACTTTGCATATTTTACACATTTGGAACATGTTTGTTTTCCACTCACCAGCAGCCTTAGAATCTATCAGTTGTATGAACAATTTCAACTAGACTGGTTCTCAGTAAGAATACAATAAGTGTTGCCTTTGTTTATATGCTGATAAACAAATAATGTGCAAGTGTAATTCATAACTTACATTGATGTTTATTAGACGCTTTGATTTATAGATACTGTGAATTAATGTAATGATGTAATAAACATCAATCTGTAGTTCATTTTGATTTACAATTTGTAGCACAGCTGATAAATTAATGGGTGAATGAGGCATATATTGACAATATAAACAAACAGTGGTGGAGTGAGTGACTGTCAGTGTTAATGATGCTCAGACATTCCCCGTGGTGAGGTGACTAGTGTAGTGATGCTGTGCCTCAGTGGATATGACTTGCTCATGTCAGACATCCCAGCCAGTGGCGCACCCAGTGCTGGGTAAGTGGATGCACTACTTCGTGTAATCATTACTCTAAACATTGTTTACTTTCAGCTTATTCAGCTCACTGTATATTACACAAAAGCTTATCTTTTGTGTTGACATAATATTTTAATATAATTTGGAATTTATTTGCAGATGATTAGCTTAAATACAACATAAACAGTGTAAATCATTGATACACATACAAATAACTAAGAATATTTACGTTATAGTGAACTTAACATGCACTTATTAAGGATGAATTGAAGTGACCAACAAATCCATCATTCTATGTGATGGAAGTGCCAGTCTTCACATTCAGATACTATAAATGTGAAGCCCATTGTTAGTAACATAAGAATTTATATTTGAAGTGTTGTTACTAAGTGTTGACTCTGTACCCACCTAACTAATCTAGTTGGGTATGACACACAAAGTACCTCTCCATATAAATATAGCTGTGTAGACTGTACCTACTGCTAGTGGCCATACAGTACATTGGACACTTGTACAGGATGATGTGATGTTTCACCGCTTGATAACTTGACCTCAAAAATAACATTAAACATGATTTTCCTTCATCAGTTCTTATTGTCCTGGGAATATTTCTCTTTACCTTGTATCAATTAAATACGTAATTGCTTATTTTATTTAAGTAAATCATTATTTGTTTCTTTTACGTATTATATTTAAGTAATATTGGTATTGCACACCTTTTATTATATACCTTTTAAAGTAGTGTCATTATTTTTCTATGTATGTATTATTCAATTAATTAATTATTATATTAGTAATGTAATAATTTAATTAACTAGTTAGGTGTCTTATAATAATAGAATAAAGTTGAATTGTGATTACAAAATATACACAAAATATGTTTTTTGTCTTAGCAACACAATAGATAGATCTGTTAGTCAAGCTTCGGGCTTCATTCAAAGTATTATTTCCTATAGTCTTATTGGAAATCAAGAATAGAACAAGGAACATTTTTCTTAACAGTAGTTATTTTATAAAACCCAGAAATAATATATTTAGGTAGTATGAGTAGTATGTTGTATTACTTATCTGTTCCAATGAGACTTGGCAAATGATTGGACTTGGTCTCATTGGACATACAGTTTTGACATTCAAAATATGCATGTTCACAAGCAGTAAGTAATATAACAGTTTTGTAAACAGAAAGTGGTGTTACAAAATGTGATGAAGCAGTTAGAGCTAGCTCCTTTGTTTGGGCTACTTTTAGTGCCTAGTTCTGCAGTTCTGCTATTACATAATACAACTAAGTAAAAGAAAAATGCTTGAAACTTGTGACTTACATAAGTATTGCATAGTTATGAACTCTCACCTGGGTTTGTTCAGTAATGGCTACTCCATGAGAGGCACTCCATCTATGAAATTGTCCACTAGTAGTGCACTATACACATGGTAATATGTATGTTATTTACGCTACTTATACGCGGGAAATACACAAAAGTTTCGACATGTACTCTCTACAAATTGTCTCCCATACAAATTATTATAACTGTTTATTTTTAATACCGTCACGCCTTTTATGTATCCCCGAAGGGGTAGGCAGACGTGCAAATCGTAGCATGTATTGCCGCTGTACAATGTACATCCACTTTCCACCAGTTCTGTTACGATTCCCAAGTAATACTATCGAAAGTATGCAGATAAATGTAAGCATTTAAGTTTTAACCAAAATGGATAGTTGGAAACTATAAATATATAGTTTACTCATGAAGTAATTTTGATTAACATTGTTTATAGAATACGTTGTTGTACCGCAGTGTCCGCGACCTGCATAGGTACTTGTAGTACATTTATTACGATTTTCACCAACCACCTCTAAGCCATATCTTAACTAAAAGTTACTTAGAGTGACGAAACACCTAAATTAGGCCCTTAATTGGACTGTTAGGTGCCCACTTATTGATGGGAACACGGGTATTAGACTTACGTTACATTTGTATTGCTACATACAAACATAACATGCCACCCAGCCTCTGGCCATACTCCTATAAATGTTTTTTTTTTTTATTCAGCTTTACATTCAGCAGGACATTATTGCCGGGGACCATGGCCGGCGCTGATCGCATACCATCAGGTGATGCTGCTTAGCCCCCTACACGATAAAATCAAAACACGTCAATATTTGTGTCAGTGGTTTAGGGATCATGAGAGGTTCGTGCGAAAGAACAAACACTAGTTTTCAGCTTCAAATATTGAGCCAACAACTTTTGCATCAGAGTAATTGAACTTACATGCAAAACATTTTGGTAGGGATATACAACTTATACACACCTGTGATTGTTAATTAATGTTATTTTCAATTATTTTGCATATAAAAAGGCATTGTATCACAGACATATTGACATTCCCCTCGTTTAGGCGCCTGCCTATAACATCGGACCTTGATTTTATCCAGCTTGGTGTATAACAAATCCTGAAAGTTTTTGGCTGTAAACAGCAGTATACAAAACTGTTGTGAAACTGGTCCCCGTCACCAGGGCATGTAAAAAATCTATTGTATTGCTAAATATATGTACATAGGTATAAAGTAACACGGTTGAAGACTGTCCTCTGGGAAATAATATAATAATTATACAAAAGTCTCAGCGTACATAATATAGTAATTATATTTAATTAGATACATTCAAGATCACAGTCGTGCGCGCGTGATAGCGCTCTGAAGACTGTTGCTAGTCGATCAGTCAACAACGAGCGAGAGGAAGTCCTGAGATAAACTGCTGCGCTATCAGATAAAGCAGAAACAAAATACTAACCAAAACTGGTGTTTGGACATGTTTACTATTTGCACGAGCGTAAGCGAGCTTATCTTAGTGGGGAGTTAACACACAGACCTCGAACCTCTGCCTTGACCGACATACGTAGTGTCCAGGATGTCGCCTGCCACCCAAGACAAACCACTGCTACAGAGCTATTACCTCGGTCCCAACTATTTCGCGCTTTGTAGGTACATCAGATGCTCACAAGTAGTACTAAGACATAGTTACCTAGTCTCCTTCAGTTCAATGACTAGAGAGCCTCAATCGGGCCTTGAGGAATGCAGTAATTATGCAATATTATTTCAAACAAGTCATTGAGCTCTGCTATTGTGTGTGAATAACTAATGACATGTTCCGCTGATGTTGTGCCTAAGCCTGAGGGATACAAAACACAACCCTATATGTACTGACGATACAGTGGGCGCGGTGGATGAACTTTCAGGGGCTGCAATGCGTGTCGCTGTGATTCACGCCAAGGTACAAACACAGGACAAATTCCGTCAAACCACGTCATCTAGGTCCTAGGCTAGTTAGCATCCACAATAAGAACTAGTATTAACTATTTTTAGGAGTCTCGTGATATAGGAAGGAAGACTGCTAATCATTGCACTTCACACAAGAGTAAAAAAAATACATACACAGGGGTTATTGTGACGACGGACCGTGCAACTTGCTACTCAATATTAATGTGAAATTAAACGAATAATTATGTAAATAGCAATTTTGTATAACATTGACATGGCGCTGGAAACATCTGAGCGTAGCCTCAAGGTTGCAAGCAATCATATCGGATGACTTGGGTAGTTAGTTAGCCGCTGGCTTGACTGCACGGGTCTGCAACAGAATTCATCGACGTAAACCATTGCCAATTCATCTGAACTACACCGATTCTTCACGCATGGATAATGTATGTAGTCGTGTTTTATACTATGAATGAGTAAGAAATAGTAACATTGGCCGGGTCGACAAAGCGTTTGGAAACTGATACTTTGGTCGTACAGAGAGCGACGTCGCTCCCTCCGCGCGCCTCACCCGGCCTGCAACGCAGACGCACTGCCCATTCGGTGCACCTGCGCTTTGTTCGGCTGTCTTTACGGCAGCCACATACACGTAAATGTATATACGTGTGCTATGTGAGCACATAACAACACCAGCCGGTACCACGTCATTTGCTTTGGGCTAGTGAGGACTCTAATTTCACAAGCTATCCTATTTTATCATCAGTGTATGCTATTACTACGCGAGGGGCTTCGCTAAAACGTTAATTACCTATTTCACGTAACAACTCCGTGTAGAAAGCGTCCGCTAAAAGTCCTGACTGAAAAAATTAACAAGTGAAATCGAAATCTTTGCCACCAAATACTTTAAGAGCTACTAAGTAAAGTATCAATAATCTGGAGGCCTCCATGAAATCTTCAAAAACAGAACATATTTTAATACTTAATTGTAATGTAAAACATGGATAGTTTTCCACGCGAGAAGAATGCTATGAGCGTGCGTGGAATGTGTATATTTAATCAAATAACCTAAGCAGAGTCTGACTGCCTGAGTACAACTACAAGTGTATGTAGCTGAAATACCTGAATGTTGTTTCAAAGTCCAAATTATTGGCCTTAGTTAAAAATATGATAGTACATAATATGACTCTCAAAATCTACTTTCCTTAGCCGTGTACAACAAACTCAATAACAGGATTTTTTTTTGGTTCCGTAACTCATAAAGAAAGACGCATCTTTTATAACATCACTTCTATATTCATCTGTCTATCACCATTTATCTCAAAAACACATGGAGGTATCGAGTTGAAATTGCACCACACACTCGGCTCTAGGGTCCCCTGCAGCTGCAAATGATTCAAAATACGTAAGTTAACGTAAAAAAACTGCGGTTGTCGTCTCAATAGTTACTCTCAATACAATCAAAAGGTATTATAGGGTGCTTCTCATTGATCGGGAAGTGTATTGAACAAGTAATTTCGAAAATTTTATTTCATTACAGTTACCTATTTAGTTAAAGTAACAGTTATTTTATTTTAATTTACCCAAATACCTAGGTTACAAGTCACAAGACTTGTTCTATTGAAATCACCAAAAATATTTGCTTTGTACCTACTAGAACTAGTTCCTGGGTTCATATTTTGAAGTGAAGTTGACCGTGTTATGTGGCATGTATAAAAGAACCTGCTAATGCACAAGCTAAAACAGACTAAACTTAATAATGAGTATCAA